TGCAACGGATGATAATTATTGTTATTTGACCCGAGGCACGGAGTTTTATCCGGGCGAACAGTTTTCCGCGGTAACTAGTGAGAGAGGATTAAATACCCGACTCGCAAAGGGGTACGGCGCGGCAGCGGTGCCCTCGGGGGTTGGTATCGGGGAACGCCTGACAAGATGGCTGGAAGTTTGAGGCTCCGTGTAATGAGACTCAGTAAGTTAGTACTCAAAGAGACAAACGCTAGACGAAACGGGGTTGCAACAATCCGATCCTCCATTTAATACGAACGTGGATAGACGATGGAACGAAGTTTTCCTCTGCTTGAAAAATAATTCAAAGACGTACATCTGTAGTCGTAGTACACGCGAGAATTTTTCCGAACCGATTAATCGATCATTTATATTAAATAAAAATGCACGAAGCTCGCTTAGACTCGAAAAGGGTTCCACTTACAATTTTCATTATGTTTGCTATTTCTTTTCCCGAATTTAACGTATCAAAGATTCATAAATCTACTACCTATCCTAGTAGTGCATGTGAGAATTCTTCGAAATCGTTGCGTCGTTAATTTACGTGAAATAAAAATTGGTAGGGAACTAAAAATAAGCGCGGAGCTGAAGTAGGCGAGAGAGGCCGAAGTAAGCGAAGCGAGACGAACCGATTGCCGCGATCTCCTCTACCACTATACGTCCTTATGCGCCTAGCTAAGAAGCTTCTCTTCCGGCTTGGGAATCTACCGCGGCGGATCGCAACCCTTTTAACCCATTATATCCCTCGCCCACGTCCTCGTTTCCTCGTAATATCTTCCTGGCCGTGACAGCCACCCAAAGGGACGAATTCTGTGTATTATCGTGTATAGTAGCCCGAGGGAGAGATCTCCCCGCTGCATTTGCTTTTTTCTCTTTCTTCCTCATTCGATAATCTCCTGTCAGCTGTAATTATCTCCCTGCGCAGCTATCGCGAGTGCATGTTTTATCAAAAGGGATGATATCGGTCGGTTTATGGCAGGACTCTCTACGATGTTAAATCGCTAAAAATGAAATGTTGAATGAAAATGTAACGTTCGTGTAGTACATCATCCGGATTTCTCCTAAGGGAGGTCCTTAGGTCTAAGAACCTAAAGGGAGGTCCATCGAATCTGTCAGAGACTAAACGAAAGTCTTATTCGTAAATAAATAATCGTTACCAGTTTTCGATTCCGAATCGATCGTTGGATATTCCGTTTAATTCCCTGTGCTCGATGGATATTTTCATTTTCTAATCGCCGTTTATTAACGGTTTCAAGCGGCGTGGGCTCGCTCGGTGCCGGTATGCGTTATGCGCGTTATAATTCACCGGTGGTAGCCGTAACTCACGGCTACTCTCTCTCTCTCCCTCTCTCTCTTTCTCTTTCTCTTTCTCTTCCTCCGTCGGCTCGGTCTCAGCTTCTTCGGTAGGACGTATGTACGGTGCATGTACCGGTCCACCGTATGGGCGGGGCACCTCTTACAGGAGGTCTCTTCCTATTTATCGCGTTCGATGCACCCTGCCGCATTCTACCGTTCCATCTCGGCTCCGTCCAACCTTGCCCGCGGATTCCGCGCCGCCGGTTCAAGCTCCAACTATTATTCGGATTCGTTCCAATTTCCGGCGAATCGGTGGCTAAACGAGTGCAAATAGTTGTATAAAACGCTTTTCGCTCGACTCGATGGTTTAGAAAAGTAATCGAGGAGGAACGGTAATTTATCAAAATCGGATTTGGACGCAGACTCTTAATAACTTTGTTAATAGCGGACGGATCCGCTTCGTTCGCGACTTAAATCGAACCTTGAACGAACTGCTGTGAACGAGCTCCGATGAATTTCAATAAACCGGTGATCGCTCACAGAAATAATTATCTTGGAAGGTCGACCATTCTCTCATCTTTCTCCGAACATAAAATACAGCGCGGTTCCTTTTTATTTTTTCCTCGTCGTATTTAAAGAAAACGGGGCCGAGAAACGGTGCCTGAGATCTCTAGATATCTCGCCGCGATTAGAATCGTAATAAAGAAGCAGCGGGTCTATTAATTTTTTGGATCGCAAAGTCTGCTGCTGCAGTTCGAAGGTAAGAGCGCAGCTTCCCTTCCCGGCGCGATATCCATCCCTCCGGTATCTTGGCAACGGCGATTCGAAGGGTTGCACAGGGGTTACCGCCATGCCCGTCGCGCGTGACTCATTCTACCCCCGCGGGGAGTTGTAAAAAAAGAGAGAGAGAGAAAAAAAATTTAGCAATAGGATAGGAAAGAAGTTCGGCTCGAGGGGGTTCTCTCCCTCCAGTGGTCGCGTCGGGAAGACGGTGACTGGTCGGCTGGGGGTTAAATCCACCCCTCGTTAAGGGCGGAGTACGTGGGATGGTGGGGCGGCGAGTCGCCGAGAAATTTATGCTAATTCCAGGAAGGAGGGCGGCCAGAAAGAAGCGAAGGGTAGCTGCGCTCCCTTCCCACCCCCTGTAGCTCCATCGATTTTTCTCCCTTCCGTCGCGGACGATTCGGCCACCGCTCTCACACCCCTCCGTCCCTCCCTACCCCAAACGCGCGCGTTTCCACGTGGGGGAACCGGCAAAACGAAACTCCGAACCCGCGTGTACCACACCTCGTCGTTCACATGGAAACGTGCGCGCCGTGTCCTCTTGGCTCGAATAAAAATTAGTGCGTTCGTTACACATGGTTCACGTCGGCGATCGTCGCGAGTTCGATGAAATTTTGGAGTGATCGGAGGTCGAAGGTAACGACAAACCCCCGGGGGGCCCGGGTTCCAGGGATAGTGTGTGGCAATCGGTGGAGGAGGAGAAGGAGGAGGAGGAGAAGGAGAGAGGAGGAGGCGGAGGGTGGTAAGCGAAAATTACCTGGAACACACGCTGATTGCGCATTCGCGCGATCGAGGACCGGCGATGTATCTATTAATCCTGCCACGTGGGTCCTGGCAATGCGATACAACGGACGCCGCATTCTTGCGATTACGATAATAAGCGGATCTTGAGTTGGACGTTTTGCGACGCTTGCGGTGGGACTTGGACGATAGACACGGTGATGACAAAACTTCATTCAATCCTCGCTCTACGATTACCGTGTGCCGAGTTCGCATTTACTTCGAATCGGTTCCTCTGAGTAGTTCAACTGAAATCGTTCGGAATGTTCGTTAATGATGAAAGAGTGTAGTTGAAGTTCAGATGAAATTAAAGCTCGAACAGAAAGCTCTAGTTCAATTAAGTTCCTCTAATAATTTTAGTTAAATCGGCTTCGAATGACACCTATTCTACGATTCTGAATATTCTGTCCTACTGGAAATCGTTGTCGAACTTCAATTGAAGATAATTTTGATAATAACGAACCGATTTACTTCATACGCGGCTTCAATTAAAAATTGATCTCTCTACTTCAATTTCATTCCTCTCGCAATTTCATCTAAAATCACCGTTGATAAGTGAAAATCAATTTCGAAGCCAACCATGTCCCAGTATTAAAATTGAATCCCAATGAAAAATACTGTCCAACTTCAATGGAGCATAATTTTGTTAATAGTGAACCGATTTATTTTGTTCAGGGCTTAAATTCAATCTTCGAATCTCTACTTTAATTCAGTTCTGGCAATTTTAGCTGAACTGATTCTTAAGTGATGAAAATCCATTTTTCAGTACGCCTAGTAACATTCTAAAAATCCTATCCTAACGAAAACGAACATATCACTTAGATTGTTAATAACGTTGTTGATAATAGACCGATTTGCGGCTTAAATTAAACTCTGGAATATCTACTTCGATTCAGAACCTTTACGAGAAATAAAAATAAAACGAATTTTGTCTACACAATGATGAAACTTTCAAGAGTATTAATCTGTAATTAGAATTTACTTCACTAGATTTCGACTTCCTCTGTCGAGTAAAACAGGTAAATGGAAGTCGTATTGAGGGATGCTAAGCGAGGATTGAATAATTTGTTCGTCGGTCTCGATGCACGATTTCCCGTGGACGCGTGAAATTTTTCGTTTGATCGCAAACAATTCCGCTCGTTCGATTTTTAATTGATGGAAGGGTGTGGGTTTGTAGCAACGACGCTACGAACAGGGTAATGGCGAAAGAGGGTAGGAATTGTAGGAAAATGGCGACCACCCCGTATCTTTTTACCCTGCTTTCAATCCTCCACCGGCGCACCCTTAAACGTTATTTTCAACTTCAGTAATTAATTTCTGCAAATCAGTCGAACGATCTTTTTAAAAAATTACCGACGTACCACTTTGGTGGAATAAAAATTCATAGATTTTATAAATTTTTATACATTGGGATGCGATCGTTCGACGTATTTGGGACCGACTCGAAGAGACTGAACTCTCGGATCGATTCGGTGCCGAACGAGAACGCCACATTTGCTGTATTAAAACGACACACCGGTTGCGTTAACGTCGGACGCATTGAGGAATCGTAATAAATCGATTCTGATCGAAGTGGTTTCTCTCTTTGTTCCGTCAGCTTGTGGCAATTTCGAGGACGACTTGGGGCTTAGCGGGTCCCGTGGTAGCTCGAGAATCCTACTGGCCTGCTAAGTCCCAAGTTGTCTCCGATAACAACTGCCTGCGAGTCTCGGAGGATTAGTACGATGACGAAGGAAGAAGTCGGGGAATTGTACGGTAATACAGAATTAATTGACAATTGCTACTGTACTAACTGCCTGAAGTCTCGAATAACGAACGTATTTCCAACCGAGAAGCAGTTCGTTGCGTCAGTTTGGGGTTTCTATGCGGCATGTGCTTTGTCTGCTCTAAACGCAATGCCCTCCGAAATCTCAAACGAGTCCAACGCCTCGTCGACGCCTGCAATCACGTGCGCGCGTGACAGACGTGAGAGAAGAATAGATGAAAAACGAAATCTTACCGATGATCTCCGCGTGAATAGAAGAAAAGGAATGGTGTTTTCGGTGTGTTATGGGTTATATGGGAAGCGTGTTATTTTTCAGTAAATATATTTATCATGACGATATCGATCGTTAATCAATACAGTGCGGCGAAGTTATTCCCAAGACACGGAATCGTCGAAGGTCTTCCGCTTCTGCGGCACGTCGGTTGTGTTCGTTCGCTGCCTCCGTTTCCTACGTCGTTTCCCTGACGAACGAAATAACCAAAAGGAACGAGAAGAGAGCGTGGACACATCGAATATTTTCGAATTGAAACTGAGACGATCGATTACCAGTGACTATCTCCCATCCGTCGTCGTCCGCCGCCGCCGCCGTCGCCTCTTTCGCGCCATTCGCGTTCTTACTCTCACCGGAGCTCTCGCCCTTCTCGCTGCTGCTGCCGCCGCTACCACTCTCGACTATCCTGAAATCGGACGAACGAAACGTCTATGGAGAATACGCGATGGAATAAACGAGAATAAAGATAAACTTACTTCGATAACTTCTGTTTCTTTTCGGTTTCATTACCATCCACATCGAGGCTTGCCTGGTACTCCCGATACCTTCTTATAGTATAAACGTTAGTTTTGCTTTTTAGGTTCTTCGCGACCGCGGCCGCTTGTTCCTTACGATTCAATCCGACGTACGCGGTGGTGTCGCTCAGCCAAGAGACTTGTATACCTCCTGGAACAAAGACATCAAATCAATCCATAATCGGACGGTGTAAACGAACATTTCTTACCGAACGGACTGAATAGCTGCGATATGTCGTTGAACTTCCACTCCCTCGGGAATGTCAAGTGAAATACGTGTTCCCTGCTCGGCTTGGCTAACAGATCAAAGATAAATCATATTCCTGTTCGTTTGGGATTCGACATATACTTACGATCGTCTCCTGTGATGTTTATGTACGGCATGTCTTTCAGTCGTCCTATCAGCAATCTGTAACCAAAACGTATATCTACGGTGATCTGTAATCGAACATGCATAAGAGAACTTACTTGTTCAGAAACGGATGGAGCAACGGCGAATCAGGTAACACGGTATCGACCGGCGGATCCTGCAACGATCCTGCGAAACACATTTAATCGTACGTAACATACACGTAACTTCGACATGGATTCTTTCGATCGATCATCGCGTTCAAGTTTGATACATAGGAAATTCTATCTCGATTTTCCTCATTTCTGTTTTATGTTTGTGATACGGACCCAGGCGATTGGACAACGCGACGAAGCAGACGCCGGTCAGGAACGCGTCGTATCCAGCCTCATGCGACTTGTCGACCTCGGACGTCGAGTAGGTTCTACCTTCGACCACTGGCCCCATCTCTGGAATCCGAAACGGTCGTTTACCGACCGTTTCGAACAACACAGACAGATTCGACGAGACGACGCTGTCCCTCAGCTCCTGCGAATGGCATATTACTTTTGTGTCTAACAATCTAGAAACAAAAAGGAGGAACGGAAGACAGAAGCGTACGCCCTATGCAGAATTTCCACGGTTTCAACGGTTCTCGAAGGAAAACAACCGCTTATAGAAGTTTTAGCCTCACCTTGGAAACAGACCGTGGAGCAGCGACTTGAATTCCGCGTAAGATTCAGGCAAATGTCCGAAAAACTGGTGAACCATGTGACAGAGGTCTAACAACATGTTGTGGCCGACTATCAATTTCCCCTGATGTAGAAAGATGCTTTAAATCTCCAACAAATGTCGTCAACGAAGAAGAGTAAAAATTATTAATTAAACGTACGGAGTCGACAATTTTCCTCATGAGGAGGCCGAGTCCCACCGCCCGTTTCACCTCGGCCACCTCTCTCACCCGCCTTTCGAGCTCCTTCCGCTCCTCCTCCTCCTTCGTACCGAGCTTCTTTACCACGAGGGTGTAATCAAATTTCTCCAGCCTGCTCTCGATCCTCAATCTGTTCGGCCATCGTATCCTCGCTTCCTGATGCACCAGCCTCCTTATGTAACTGTTGCACTTGTCTATCGTTAGCTCCTCGCCCTCGAAACCAGACTGGACAAATTCGTCTATCCTCCTGCTAATGTACAATCACTATAAATTAACATATAAAGATTTAACAGTTACGTTCAAGCTGTAAGTGAGGTATTACCATACGTCTTCGACGAGAGGTTTGTCGGAATCAGGAATAGGCACGATTTCGGTGGACCCTTCGTCTCTGCTGGCCCTAGCCTTCAGTTTCTCCTCCAGTTTCTTCATCAGCTTCTCTTCCTCCATCGCGGTTAAATACGGAATCCCACATTTAAACAGTTTATTGAAGTCAAATCCCTGATCGGCCAAGAAGGATATGCAGGATGCCTGGCACATGAATCGACAGTCTGTAGTGGTGCGATTCAGTGGTCGTGGGAACACGTAGAAGTTGTACGACTTATGGCTGTACCTGTAACATTCGATTGAGCCATCGTGAATTATAGTAGTAATCGAGGAGAAACCCACATGAAAACATGTTCGGATGTAATATACCTCTGAGTTTTGTCGTCATACGTGAAGACGGCTAGCCCGAATTGGACCAAGAGGAAGTCCATCGAACCGGCTCTAAGCTTTGAATAATATTGCGCCGGCGTATCGTAGATGCCGACGATCGCCTCCGAGTTCAATCCCGTGAACTCGCCGTCGATCGCCAGGAACGTCGACCCTTTCAATACTTCCTCCAGCTCCTCGAGGACCTCCTGAAAATCTGTTAATCATTTCATTGGCATATAGGGCCCTGCTTTCTTCCTAGAGGTTCCTAGAAGATTACTAAGAGGCTCGAGCGATGCTAACCTTGTGTACTCTGACGACATTAAGATTTCTTTATGGGACTTGAATACACGATCGTAGATGTTTCTACTGCTATCGAGAGGAGAGTGGATTCAACCAACACTCGGCGCGTTAAACACTTGTTAGTATACACAGAAATAAGATAGAACGAACGATACGATGTGTTTACGAGAATCGGTGAAAGGAAGTTGTATTATACTCACTCGACGAAGTGACTTCCATTTCGCCTTGTCCTCGTCTCCTCCCTTCGATCAGATTATTATTTTGGAGAAAATCACAGGTATAAAAGCATGAGCTCACTTTTCATTTAGAGATCCATGACAACGGCGCAGGAAAAGATGTAACATGTAACATGGCGCAGTTCGCAGAACCATCGCACAAAAGGACTGAGGAGGACTGATGACTGATACCAACTGACACTCACCAATCGCGCATCCATCATCCACACTTTCGAATGAACCACTAGCGCCACTGTCGACAAATTCAAATGCATGGATCCATGGCCCACCTCGGTCCATGTTCAAATAGAAAATAGAAAATAAAATTTCAATTTACCTTTCAATGATTCTGCTAATGTAATTCAACAAAAACTCCACCGCCACTTCCTCTCCCTTCAGCATAAATAACCATGAAATTACTTTTGTTCTTAGAACATCTATTTCATTGATACTTTACGCGTATGTTCTGTGTTCTTTTTTTATACTCCTGTCCAATGCAGGTTAGCCGAATTCATGTTTCACTACTCGATATTATGTATTATGTATTCGTTATTGTCACTAAAGGGCTTCTTCCCGTAAATAAATAAATAAATTACCATTCCCAGTTCGTTTGCTTGCACAGAATTTAGGATAACGTATCGTATGTACCTCATTCTTATTGGCATCTTATTCAATTACATACGTTTAACACGAGTCGAAAAGTAAAATAGGATCAGAATTACGTCCGCTTTGGTGTCAATGTATGAAATCATGTTTCAATTAAAATCATCGACTTTCCCTCTTCATTTCCTGCGACACGTGTTTTACGTGACTCTCGTTTATATAGAAATGTTATGAGCCGACGTGACCGCCAGCAAGAAACCGTAACAAGTTCGTGTCCATCTAGCGTCGAAATCTCACATTTTTCTATAGAAAATTGACCTTGTCAAATTACGCTTACAAGGCTTCAGTAATAGAATTTTATCGAATTTCATTGAATCGTGGCAGTAGCGTAGAGAAAATTCAAATGTAACAATTTCTCGAAATCCATTAATAATTGTTAACTCGAAAAAAGATTCCAAAATTTATGAAACAATAAAGTCCACCTTATAGGTACATAATTGTTTTACTATATTTATTCTTTTACATAGGAATTAAGCAGTGCCAGGGAAGGGTTCAACTCTGTTGGTCCTCAGAATGAACTTAATTTTCCTGTTCATGTCTTCAGAATAGATAGCTCGGCACCTCTCATAGTTCACTCGCCTCCTTGTCTGCGTTGGTTTCTCAAAGTACCTTGTGTACCTATACTGATCAAATATACCTTCCTTACCAAGGATACTGTTCAGCAAGCGAGAGGCCTTCTCTAAATTTTTATCTTGTACCATCACCGTCCTTGCCAGGAACTGGGCATGCTTTGGCATTCCCATCTGTTAAATAATTATCACCAAATTGTTTAATCAGAAAACAATACTAGCTGAGACAACAAGCTAAGTCCACTAGATTAGAAACAATTTTTTTCTTTTTTGTACAAATTAAGTTAAGATAGGTATAGAACTGTTTTAAAATTTCACAAGCCATTCTACTCGAGTCGAGAGGTTAGGCTCATTCGATTTGAAACGATTTTCCTCTTTATAAGAATTAGGTTCAACATTCATTCGATGGTAAAATTGACAGAGTACCTTGAATTGATCTAATACGGAAGAACAGCGTTTCTTAACGACTTGCAGATCAGTTCCTAACAGTTCTTAATGTGATAAGTGCAATTGAACTGCATGTGACCAAGGAACAGCATGTTCAACAAGGTGATTACGACGAAGTACACGATCAAGCAGGACAATATCTGGAAAGGATATACAGAAATGTATTCTAAGCAATTGATTTCGAATAAAAAGTTCATTCACCGATCAATTACTTCTCTGTCCTTAAGATTGTACCGAAATCCCCATCGGCAGACGCACAGCCACGCCGACAGCGACATTAACAGCAGCACGACTGAAAATGGTGTAGCATAGATTTGCACGCGGAACATTTGAATTTCGACTGACCGTGTTTCATCACTCCTCCGTATTCGCCCTATTTCTTGAAGAGGACGTCAGTGCTTACAATTTTGGTTTAAAACGCTTCGGTACTTATTTAGTACGGTGGCAATGTAAGTACCCAATTTTTCTCGCGAATTTTGTTACCTATAACCAGAAACTTTTTCGAATCCGGGACAATCGAATCGAGCCGATCGAACGATTAGATCGATCGACGCCAGATTCTCATGTTCAGATGGAACTGGTCAAATTTTCAGAACGAATTAAGTTTAATTAATAAAGTGACTTTGATTAGATTTAAAATGTTTCTAGGTATGGAAATTCGTAGCCGCGGGGCTCGTTTGATCGATAATGCAATCGAGTGACATGAGAGATGCGAGCTTACCGAGTCTCCGGCAATTCCAAACGGAACGAACTATATTACAGGCCTTTTGATTCAAAGTGTAATTAATTGAATAATTAATTAATAAACGATGCCACCGAAACGGAAGAAAGAGATGAAGAAGGTTCCTCTGGAACCACTGCCAGCGTGAGTCCCCAAAATCTGTGCTCATATAATAAATTCAACAAGCCTGCACGTTTAATTGTACCCGATAGGATGGAACCGGACATACCGGAGGTGATAGACGCTGAAGAATCCCCCAAGCCTTTGGTATCCGAGGTAACCGGTCAGCCGTTTGGTCCTCGGATACGGTACGTCACCGAGAAAATCGAGGACGAAAGCTCGGACGATGAGCCCGAATCGGAGAGCGACGACGAAGAGCTGAGAATTCTGCAGGAAGAAGCGCCCGAGGTGCCCTCGGAGTTTTGGCACATACAAAAATTGATCCGGTACATGAAGGCTGGCAATCAGACTGCCACAATGGTTTCTGTCTGCCTCCTCAAGGATTATGACCTCACCAGCAGGGTAGATATACTTCTCCTTTCATTTTGTCCCTGTTTCTATGTATTTAATAATCGTTCATCTATCTCGACAGATCATCCAGAGAGCCGTTCAAGAGATTGGTGGGCTGGAGATTTTAGTGAACTTATTAGAGACAAAGGACTTGAAGTGCCAGAGCGGAGCATTATCGGTTCTGTTGCAGATTGTCAGTTCGAAGGATATGAGACGGTATCTGATCGACCTTGGCATTGTCACGCCGTTGATAGAGATGCTGCGACACCCTGCAAGAGACATACAAGTTAGTTTCTCACAGTCGATAATCAATTATTCTCTTTCTAAATAATGGAGTTTCAATAACAAACTGAATAATTGTTATACTAATTGATTTTTAAATTATTATTAGAGATAGATTTATGAATCTTTAAAGACACTAAGATACGATATCCCTGAAGGTCTTTTATTAATTTCATTCAATTCCCTTGATTAGAACCAAAGTTGTTACAATTCTTAACCGAAGAGTTCCAATACAAAAACCTAATAGCTTATGTTACATAGTATTTTAATTACTATTAACAAACCGTTTAAAATACCTTAATGAAACTTTAGAAACACCTACATAGAAGCTTTCTAAAAATTCCTCTCACGTTTTATTTGATTCCCTTGATTACAACAAAAGATAGCAGTTTGGAGTCAGAAATCATTATTAATTGAAACTTCAATGGTCATACTTTAAAGAGGACGGATATCTTCAAGTCTTACATATCGTAAATGTTTTCCCTGTTCTTCTCGGTTTCGCCTTTCTAGGAGCCACGAACATTTTTCTACTGTTGTATCGTTGAATAGGTTCTGGCTGCGGAGACCATGGCCATCATTGCCCAAATTAGGAAAGCAAGGAAACAGATCCGACTACGCGGCGGCATACCTCTTATAGTAAGCCTCATATTTTATTTCTCGGATTCCACCGGTCAGGATTATCTGATGACAATTCACAGACATACCATCTGACTTGCTACCCGTATTAAATGTAATCTTTTGTAATCGAATGTGATTCTATGTAATTAATCTTGTGCCCAATGAATGGCAGCTGGACGCGATGGACGTGGCTGACAAAGTTCTGAGAACGCCCTATGAGAATCTGAACGAGACCAACAAAGAATTAGTGGACGTGGCCATTGGTTGCGCCAAGGTTTTGGATTCTTTGAGCAGCAGCCCGAAAGCAAAAGAGCAGCTCCGGAAATACGGGGTTGTCAAGCATATGGAAAGATTCCTGAAGTCCTGTCACACGGCTCTGATCGTGCCGATCATGGGTACCATCCAACAGTGCGCGAGCATGGTAAAATGATCGACTTGCGTAACATGAATTTTATTTACATCCCGCGGATCGCTCATCTTCGGAATACGATTTTCAATGTATTTAATTGCCGATCGAAGGAATCGTTTCGCGAGGCGTTCGAGAAGACGGACATAATGTCGGACGTAGTGCGCCACCTACGCCGCGAGAGTCCCAGCGGCAAGGACGCTGTTGATACAAAGTTAAAAGAGAATTGCGCTCTGGCGATATTCAAGTGTGGTGCCAGCAAAGCGGCCAGGGACGTCGTGCGCGTGACATCCGGTCTGGACGTCCTCTGTAGACTCCTGCAAAGCGAGCAGGCGTTGGAAAACAAAAGATTGCTGGCCGCGGTTACCGGGGGCATTTGGAAATGCGCCATCAGCCCGGAGAACGTTCTGCGGTTCAACCAGAACGGACTGGTCGCGCTGTTGATACCGTTCTTAGAGGAGGACGAGGACGAGGAAGTCCAGGCAAACGTCGTGGGCGCTTTGGCCGAGTGTTGCAAGGATCCGCAGAACAGGGACGTCCTCAGACTGAATGATGGCTTGCCTAATCTCGTAATAACTGCGTTCGCGCAACGATTCATACTCACTCCGCTTTCTCTGCTGCAAGAGCTCGAATGAAGAGTAACCATGTTCTTTTTTCAGATAAAATTGTTGAGCTCGACGTACGAGCCGTTGTTGGAAAACGTGCCGTTAGTTATTAAAGAGTGCGCGAAGGACGAACGGTGCATGGACATCATCAACGATCCGGAGCACGTAAACGACGGTGTGCGGCTAGTCTGGTCGTTGCTGAAGCATCCGAGCGACAAGATAAAGAGGAACGCGTGCCTTGCGTTGGTGCCTTGCATAAAGTACGCGAAGGACTCGCCGGAGATGGTGAGGGCGTTTGTGGGCGGGTTGGAGTTGACCGTCAGCCTGCTGGACAGCGGTAACTCGAGCGTCCTAAGCGCCGTGTGTGCGACGATTGCCGAGATCGCAATGGACCAAGAGAATCTGGGCATCCTCAGCGATCATGGGGTCGTCGAGAAACTTGCACATTTAGTCCAGACGGTAAGGCCAGCAGTTATGTTCGATTGGTTGATCGACGAATTTGTTCATCGATGATTAGGAGGACGAAGAGCTGAGGGCGAACTTGACGTTGGCCATCGCGTACTGCTGCGACTGGGGGGAGAATAAGTATCAGTTCGGCGAATTGAACGCGGTGGCACCATTGATCGATTACATGACCAGTAAAAACAAGAAGGTTCTGAGAGGTGTTTGCATAGCGGCTTATCATTTGAGCAAAGAGCCCTCCAACTGTATCACCATGCACTCAGCTGGGATCATCAAGGTACCTCCCCGATCAACTGTTTATACAGGGTCTACCAAAATTCACGATTTCCCTCCGACGAAAGAGGGCACCTCGTGAATTCTGGGACTTCCGATTTAATTTTAATCGACGTCTAACGACATTTGTCAGCATGTTTTGAGGCTGGTTGGTTCGGACGACCCGGAAATGCAGATAGCTGCGGCGTCGACGATTCGTAATATCAGGAAGCTCGCGTTAACGGCGGAGAAATTGCACTTCAAAGAGATGTACGTAAACGTTCATTTTTCATTAATCAATTTAATTCGAATCCATTTTCTGTCCCAATTCACAGAAGCACTTTGGAGGAGACCGATTTCCTTTTATGATTCGTCGACCGTCGGATCGATGTACGCTCGTCGCCTTGTAACCAGAGTATGTAACCAATCAATAAAACAAAAGAAAAACCGAGAGAGGAAGTGTCAACCTTTCTGTAACGAATCATGAACGGATCGTTATTGATGAATATTCATTTCTCCATCCTCGTCGTGCTGTGCCGTTATCCCGGCACAGCGTCGGCTACCATCGACGTTAATTTGAACGAGTTAGAATATTTAGCTGCCCGGCTGGATCCGTTCGAGTGTCGCAGATTGATAACGGCCCTTCATTACCACAGCTATGAACTACCGAACAATTTACCCGAGGCTGGTAACGATTTTCATTGATATTTGAATGTAACGAAGATTTCGAATAAATTCCAATTAATTTCATTGTCGAATGAGAGAGGAACGTGGACGATGACGTGCCCTGTTTCCGTCACCTGCTGCATTGGAACGGTTCCCCGGCCGAAGGGAAAGGCAACAGTCATGAAGCATTAACGCATAGGCTGCGTCAGATAAATCGCAATGACCTGGCCGACTGGCTGGGCAGGTCGGCGTTCAAGCAACTGGGCAACGACTTAAACAGAGCAGTGGAAGCAGGATCGTTCGGCGAACTCGGGAAACGGGAGACGGATCCACCGTAATCCATTTAATTATCTCGTCACGTGCTACGAATGGTTACTTCATTAATTGATTGAGATCAGTCGTCTGGTGGTGACTTTGGAATCGAGAACTTCGAAGGAGGAGGAGGAGGATCCCTGGTGGCAGGCAAACGTCGTACTTCTAGCTGTTTTAGTCGGGCTGATAGGAAGTTTAATCGCAATCGTCTGTGCAGCTGTTTTCTATAAAATTCGACAGAGTCTTCGCGAGAGGATGTACAAGTATGTCGAGGCAGAAATCGATAGATTAATAGCTATTATGTTATCTCCGTGTTTATCAGAAATTACATCGGTGTACACGGTCGTAATCGTTTGATTAACAAACTGATTAATGACAGAGAAGTAAGGCAACGAGAGGAGGAGGAGGAGGTTGACGAATATTCTAAGGGACACCGTGCAGAGACTACAGAATACGATACGGATTTCGAATAGATAAATAGTTCGGGGGACCTCCTAATTAATAGATTCTAACTGATGGCGATGCAATT